TGCCATCGGGACTACTCACCAATCACCATCCATGACCAACTATAAGGAAACTATCAGTAACTTCCAGGTGACAAAGCTCCTTGCAATCATCAGCTCAGGGAATCTGGGTGTGATTTTTATCAACCAGTGCACTTCCTCAGGGATACAGAAAGATCTGTTTAATATTGTTTTGTAAGTGTCCAGGGATGAATAGGGAAATCATGCATGCAGCTTCCTACCCCATGGTTACTCTAAGCTCAAAGAAGCAGCCTTCACTAGCCAACCAAGTAATTCTCTGAGCAAAGATAATTCCAGAAACTAGCTAAATGTAACAATGATTCCTACTGCATAAAGGGATTCTAAACATTCACATACAGTGAAATGGACTAGGTCAAGTGTGAAGTGTAACATATGAACTGATTTTCCATTAAAGGACTCAACATAACTGCATGGAAAACAGATTGACACTGGGGAAGAGGCATCCCTCCTAGAAGGTAAAATCAAGTGCATCTCTGACAGGAAAGGGCTTCATAATTCTGAATCTCAAGAACCCAAAAAAAAGGCAAAATCATGAATTTCACATTCTAAGTTTATGAAGGAGAAAAAAATTATGAGAGGCATTCTGTTAAAATAGGTACCTTCCTTCCCTTCTCTTTTAATGAGATTATAGCAAGAATCCTATCCGTCATGCTAGGCACTCTGTATTACAAACCTGGCAGCTCACATTAATACAACCTACCTGTGGAGAGAGGTCAACACAGCTGAGGGTCACACATTTGTTGCTGCAAGGTCTCTGGATTTAAGGTCAGTACTCAAATACTGGCTGGGCTGTGCAATATTGATAATATAGTGGTAAGCACAGCTGCCTTCTAAATGCTGGTGCCACCGTTTACTATATTGTAACCTTGGGCAAGGTTACCTTTTGGGCCTTCTCCTGCTCATCTTCGAAATGGGGATAATGAATAATCCAAATGCCTATTACTAGATGAACAGATAACCAAAATATGGTATGGCCAGACCACGACACACTATACATCTATAAAGTGAAGGGGCTGATGAGATATATAACAACCTGCATGGACCTCAAAATCCTTATGAGTGAAATAAGCCAGACTCAAAAGCCATACACACTTATGACTTGATTTATGTAAAATTCTAGAAAATATAAACCACTGTGTAGTGAGAAAAAACAGCACAGTAGTTGCCTGGGGACAAGGGCAGAGGAAGGATGGATGGAAAAGGGGTATGGAAGACTTCTGGGGTGATGAAAATGTTCGGTATATTGATTACAGTGGTAGTTTCAGAGGGTATGTACATCTGTCAAATCAGACACAACTAGGTTGACATTTAAGAACTTTCCCATAGATTGTTTGAGAATTAAATGAGAAAAATGCACAATACCAGCCTCACTAGCTGGAACATGACAAATGTTTGCTAGTGAGCAGTGATGGCAGTGATGCAGGTGGACACTATGGTTTGAGATAGGAATGTCCACAGGACTCAGAAGTCTAGAGTTCACAACCTCTAAGCAACAATTTCTTGATGGGTTAAAGGACAGGCTTGGACAAGACCACTTGCAGAGTTCCTCAGAGCTGCAACAATTTGACTCTGACACGATGACACCACGGTGGCTGCCGGCACAACCTCCTAACAATATGAATTTATGATATATGAAAACTTGGGTATTCAGAAGTTGTAATATTTAACAGCTACTACTTGAAATGCTGTATTTCCACACACTAAGGAAGGATTTCAGAAGTCCTAAGAAAGAGTTGGAAAGAGGTCCACAGTAGAGTGGAGAGAGGCCTAGAGAAGAGCAGCCACTGGATTAAACCTTCTATAGGCTATGAGTTTAACAACCACCTCAGAGTTACAGCACCATGGTCTGCAAGCATATTGCTCCCTACTCACCCCACAATATAGTTAAAATCTGCAGGGTCTCTGCCTACTGAACTCTTGGACCCATCCTAGTGGATGGTCACCCTCTGTCCCATTCAACCAATGGCTGAAGCAGCAGACAATTTGGGAGGACAGGCAAATAAAAAGTGTGGCCAGCAGTTACTGGGCACTGAGCCACCAGCGTTGCCAGCTTAGCAGTGGGAAGACAGCCCGGTTGCATGTTTGGGAAAACAGACTCTGGGAAAAAGAAGTGCAGGATCCCTTATTTAACAGGGTCACTGGGAATTATTAGTGGGTGGAGAAGTTTGGCAGCTAAAATGAGTGTAGTGAGTAGTGCTAAGGAAGATTATCTGAGAAAAATAAATGAGCCTGCCAATAAGAGATATTGGGGAAAGCCAAGAAAAATGCTGAAGAATGATGAGAGTGTGCTCATAAGTGCTTATTAACTTCCATAACTCAAACTGGATTTCTGACCTCCAATCTCTACTTTAGTACCTGAAAGACTCTTTGGACTGAAATGAGACAGGGGTACTTTTTCACAGTTGCTGTGCTCTTCAGTCCTCAACCCTGCCTTTCAGTGGTGCTATAGCAGGTAATTAAATTTTAGTTTGCAAAATATTCATCCAGGCCATGTATTTGAACGAATGCATCAGATCCCAAGGCTTCAACTCCAGTTTCTGATAGAGGCCTGGGAGCCTGTATTTTTACCATCACCCCAGATTATATCACAAATGTCCTATAGCACCCTCAGCCCAGTCTTGGGAAGTAGCTAGAGTACAGAGAATCATCCAACTTTTACACAGCTAGTTCTCTCTTTCACTCTGTAGCCACATGTAGAGGTCAGTTAGCAGAAAGCTTTGGGGCTCCACTCTTAGCCTTGAGAAAGTAAGTGGGGCTGGGTTTGCCGTCCCATTGCAGACAGGAAACTGGAAACCACACATACAGCTGTTTTTAGACAGTGGACAATTGGTAGCACAGAACTGTGACTCCAAGGGGAAGGAGAAAACATGAAGCAAGCACTGTTGTTTGCCCTGGCCTCTACCTGAAGGTATCTTCTGAGTGTGGCACAGGGAGTAGGCACTTCAAGTAAAGCACAGAGGTTTTGCTGAGATGAGGAGACTGTGACCAAAGTTTAGGGGGTTAAGGTGATGAGAAGCAGAGTATCAGAGAAGGGAGCAATGTCACAGAAGAGCTCCAGAAATCTTGATTGAGTAACTACTGAGCTGTACACGAAGAGGATTAAATTCCACAAGGCTGAGCAAAGAACTGCTACCAGGAAGGTGTGAGCTGAACAACTCCCAGAGCTTATACAGAATGGCGGAGGTGCAGCTTCACCCAAGAAGAGTGAGGTGACCTCATTGAACAGCCAACTCAGCAGAGACACCAGAAGGCTTTAGTGTTTGGTGCTAACTCTAGACTTGCCCTAACAAAAGCTGAAAATGATCAAGTTGATTAACAAATACATCAACTGCCTAATAAAACAAATAGGTCAGTCTTGAAAGAAAGAAGACATTCAACCAGGTAGCATTCTACAATGGCCAAGCATCTAGTCAGAAAACCACTAATCATGTGAAGAAAAGTCATACGCAAGTATGACTTGCAACCAGAAGAAAAGTAACTCAAAAAAGGTAGAGGTGATACGATTAACAGAAGAGCACTTTAGAACAGCTATTATAAAGACTATTACCAAGGATAAAGGAAATCATGAACAGGACAGAAGACTAAGTGGCAGCTTCTTTAGCTGAAAAACACAATAAATGACACAATAAATTTACTGGTGGGCTTGCCCACAAGTAGACTGAACATTGCATTAGACACAGCAATAAAAACTATCCAAATGGAAATAGGATTAAAAACAGATGAGAGCAAACACAGCCTCAAGGGATCTGGGTGGTAATTTCCACTGATAAAACCCATATACCTATAATTAGAGTCCCAGAAGGCATAAAAGGAGAAAAAAAGCTTCTAAAAGCTTCTAAAAATGTTCTGCATTTGATGAAAACTGAAAATCAACAGACTCAAGAACTTCAAATAGGATAAATACAAGATAAACCACACCAAGGCATATCATAATCAAAGTGCTAAAAATTCTAGTGAAAGAAAATGAATCTTAAAGCAGCCGGAAGGAAAAGGACACTAGATGAGGGGGTGAAGATAAGAATGACTGCTGACTTCCCACCAGAAACAACATAAGTCAGACGACAATGGAATGACTAAAATGCCAAAAGGGAAAAATAAGTCATCAGTCTAGAATTCTGAATCTGGTGAAAAGTCAAGACATTTCCTGACAAACAGGGCTGCATTTGCTGCTGGAACATACTGCTCTGTAGAACATACTAAGCAAAGTTTTTCGGGCAGAGGCAAACAGACTGACACAAAGGAACAGCACGGAGAAATGGTAAGTAGGTGGGTCAAGAGAAAATGGCTTTGGTGACACAGATCCCAACTCCCGCTGGGCAGGTTTCTTGTAAAAAGCTCACAGAACTTTGTCTCTTGAGTTTTGAACAGGCTTCAGCTGTGACCCAGCTGCTGACCTTTTTAGTGCTGCTTCTCCCTGATGGTCATCGTCAGTGATCAACGACTATGTGCAGTCGACACGTGTGGAGACGCAAAGATACAGAAGACACGGTATTCACCACCAGGGAGCTTAGAGCCTGGTGGGGAAAACCAGCTAGTTGGCGAAGAGTTAAAGTGTAACCTGTCCTGACCAAACTTATTTGTTGTGTGGGGAGTTCAGTTTCAATTGTCCAATGGAGACAATAATAGCATCAATGGATAAGGTGGCTGTGAAGGTTAAATGCTCTAACACACATGAGCTGGCTGAACAGTACCTGGAAATAATGGACATGAAGGAGTATTCGATATTTTTACTACTGTTGCTACAAAGGAGGTTTCTGCAGGAAGTTGTAGGAGCCCAGAAATGGAACATCTGAGTCAGAGGAGTAGGGAGGGAAGATATTTCAAAGCAGGTGGTATTTCTGCTGAGATTAAAAGGCAAGTGGGTAAAGGAGAGGCTGGGTATTCCAGAGGCTACCACACAGGGCCTGGGCTGCAGCCCATGAAAGGCTCTCAGGTCTCTGGGGCCTCTCTGAAGCCTCTGACTTCCTCAAGGGGCATCTTACCTCCTCCATCATCTGATCCATCCAGGCTCTGCTGCCTGAGGCGGTGACTGTCCCCAAAAAAGAAGGAAAGAAAAGCATAAAGTTAGTTCCAAACAGAGAGGGAAATAATCCCAATTTGTACTGTACACACTCTGCTAGCTATCAGTGTCTCTGGAACCACTTCCCTCCAGCAGCTGGGTTAAATCTAGTTAAGCAGCTGGGCTGCCAGGTATGGATGCACAGGCCACTCACTGCACCATTCCACAGGCCCCCCCCAGCCCTGAAGGTGTGGAATCCACCTTGAAACCTCTCCTTTCTTTTGATAGAATTCTAAGGAGAAAGCTAGGCTTAGAAAGTTGCTCTTGCTTCTGCCCATGTGTTTCAAGCAGAGCCCCGGCTCAGTGCCCTGATACGAAACATTCTAAAAACCACAGAGTGGGAGATGGGACATGGGCCGCCATGTCAGCGTCGACACCTTCCACCAAGGCAGCAGCCCCAGACAGACCCCTGATTCAAACACATGGACTCCAGCCCCAGACCACAGCAGATTCATCTGGTTTTGAACACTATGTTAACACAGGTTGAGGAGAAAATGACTACTAAGACTACAGTGTGGATAAAGTTCACACTAGGAAGCCACAAAAAAACTGGAACATACTCCTCTATTTCTTCGGAAGCTCTTCTTCCAGGCCTGAAAAAAAAAGAAAGACAATGTTGATGAGAGCCTAGAAGATTTTCGCGCTGGTGTGGTATGTAGGAGGGAGAGGGGATTCAAAAGCAGGTGCGCTTATTGGTATATCCCAGGTTCTCAACCATCATATCTAAGTGTTTTATTTGTCTGGATTCCTCTGTATAGACCAAGGCCCATAACCCACACGAGAAAATGAGACACAGTAATGCTTTCTTAGAGTTTTATTTCAGTGTATCTCCAATTAAATTGTTGTTTCAGTGCAAAATGTAGTGAGAAGTTCAAAGCTCAAATGGATCTAGATGAAACTGCCCTCCTTCTAACAATGAAGGGATCAGGCTCCCCGGTTGGGTGAGTAGGGCCTGAAGGCATCTCACAACAGGACAGGAAGCCTGTGTAGGTACTTGCCGTGAAGGCAGGGGCTCCCCAACTTAGCCGTGTGGGAGAACCTTCTGGGAAGCTTGTCAGATGTGCCAACTGCCAGGTCTGGCAGTGAGAGATTTCTGGATCAGCTGGCCTAGGGGAGGGAGAGCCCAGAAATACCACCTGCAAACAAATCTCCAGGTAATTCTAATCTAAGTCACCATGGACATACTGAGAGACACGGCTCACTCTAATGACTTCTAGACAAGACTGGCAGAATGCTGATGACCATTAATGTTAGGTATCAGGTCCATGGTGATTACTTTTCTGTATGTCGCAAACATGTCATGATATCAGAGTGTGGGGATTGTGTGTGTATGTGTGCGTGAAGACTTACGTAGAAATCATCGCCAGGGTGTGCGGGGCCGAGGGTGGTGGCACCGTCACATTGGCCGGGGCAGGGGGCCAATGCATGGAATCCCCTTCTGGATGTGATGGGAAATGAAGCCTGGGCTGACAGACTACTTTCCATGAAATTTAGATCATATTAATTACACTGTTGATAGAAAGAAGGACAGGAAGGGGGTGGGGTGAGAGAGGAGGGGAGAAAGATCGATAGACTGATCTCTGGCAGAGGTCAGGGAGAGAAAGACAATGGCAGGTAAAGTTGGAAGAACAGGGAAGAACAACTCTGAGGGGGCGTCCCAGGCTGCTTGTATTGACTCTTACAGGGCCACGCAGGGAGAATGAGCCACCAGGGGTATGGCAATGGGGCCCCCACACCACCACTGGGTGATGCCAGACGATGCAAGCTTCCACACTGTTCTAAGTCAAAGGAATCCTACATGTCAAGCACCCAGCAGCCAGGCAAGCCTCCATCTGCGTGGGGTCGGGGGGAGTCTCTCTCCCAGCCCAGTGCCCCCCAGGAACACTGCCTCTAGAGGTCTTGGTGACGCAGACCCCATCAGCTTTCCATCCAAGTGACCCAGCAGCATGACACTTGTAGTAGCAGGGCTGGTGCAAAAACAGGGATCAGAGAACGAGAATAAAGAGCTGTGTAGAACAGGCAGCGCTTTCGTCTTGCACATAAGAGACATATCCGGCTTTGGTTACACTGAAGAGTTACGACTGAATCGCTCCTTTCCTCAGCAATGTGTCCCAGCTGAAGTTGCGGTGCTCTTGTCTGAAGAAAACAGCATCACAACGATGCTCATCTTCAGGCTGATTGCACTTGCCCGCCCAACACCCATAAAGGGATGAGGTTCACACTCAGCGTGGGTGCTGGTGAGCGCTCATGCTGCTCGCTTTCTAAGGGGAGCCCGAGGGTTCTCCTGAATCTCATGGCACCCCAGGGGGAGGAGCAAGAGCAGGGTGGAGCCCTCAGAGACAGGCAAGGCACCCTTGATGGTGCTCCTGCTCGCTCCTCTTGTCTGCCAGGCACAGGTTCTGGGTGACTCTGGGTGACCCTCCCACTATACACGGACCCACGCGAGGCCGGAGCCTTTGATGAAGTCAGCCTCTTCCGGGCTTCATCTCGCTTACAAATGAGTTTGGTCTGGACCGCACGCCTATTTATTTTAGTTTGGTTGGGCTGGGTTTTGCTGTGAATTTGTTGCCCAAATTGGAAGATTTTTTTTTTTTAACCAAAATCCAGATTTCATTTCTTCATGGAGAACTAAGAGGAGCTAAGTCGTGGATGCCCCATGCAACCCCTAGTCTAGACACCTGTCCTCACCGGGGGGGCTGGTACCAGCTCATCGCTACAGCTGCACTGCTGGGTTTTTGGTGAGCAGCACTTACGAGGCGAGTGAACGACTTCCCATGGCTATTTGGCTATGAAGACGAGAAGGTGAAAGGCAGACTAAGTGGGAAGCCTTAACAGAGTATCTGCTTCTCTGCAGAAAATGCAAATAATGTGTGCATGTAGCCTAGCTGTACTTTAAAAGAAGCTGTGCTGAAGTAAAACCCTACCTCAAGCTGACTTTACCTGCCCAGACTCAGAATCAGCACAAAGATCCTACGCACAGGCCGTGCCTGTGAGTGTCATGAAGTAGTTCAGAGAATCACCACTTGCCTCTCCTGTTCTGTTTTCTGGGAGGGGGCGGGGGGTGGTGGAGGGACTAACAGCATAAAATAGAAAATAGTAAGGACAAGTGTTACACAAACACGCCTTTGGGTTTTGTACACAGCTACAGCCAGTCAGGACATAGAGGGGATTTTTAAATTGTGGGTGGGTGACAAGTTTAAAAAAAAAGAAAAAGAAAAAGCAGTGGCCTGACACAGGACCCCAGGGCAGATTAGCCAGAGGAGGGTTGGGCTCTGCCCGTGTGGGCTGTGGGCTGATGGGGGTCTGGGTCATCTTCCTTCACAGACACACTTGCAGGGAAAGTGAGGCTGCTGAGGAGCCCACGTGACCCGGCCCAGCCGGGCGTCTGCAGAGCTGTGGCCGGCACTGCACAGGCTTCTCCCTTCTTCCTGGGTCTCAGTTCTAGAAGCCTGCAGGAGGCCCGTGGGTATGACCCACACATGGACACTGTGCAGACTCCCCAGGGGCGAGTCTCTGTTCTACGTATTGCCATTCATAAGTCTGGACGATCTAGAAGGTAAATGCGATCAGATGTCGTGTACCTAGGGACAGGATGTCTGCTGTTGACAGTGTTGGGGCTGGATGGTGTGTTGGCATCTGGGGTAGATGCCAACAGAAATGCTGCTCAGGGTCTGGCAGGGTCTGGGAACACAACTGTAACAACGCTGGCGAGACCACCTCAGGTGGAAGGAGCGCTTTTTGAGCTCATTACTCACACCTCCCACATCAGCTTGGGTGAGCCAAGCAGGTTTCATGGCCCCATTTCACAGACAGGGTTGCTGGGCATGGTGTGTGCTCTTTGCCAACTCACAGAGCCATTTCGGGAGCCCAAGAGCAGAGTCCTCATCTCCCAACCTCTACCCCAGATGCCAACACACCATCCAGCCCCAGCACTGTCAACAGCAGACATCCTGTCCCTAGGTACTACGACATCTGATCGCATTTACCTTCTAGATCGTCCAGACTTATGAATGGCAATACGTAGAACAGAGAGACTCGCCCCTGGGGAGTCTGCACAGTGTCCATGTGTGGGTCATACCCACGGGCCTCCTGCAGACTTCTAGAACTGAGACCCAGTCACACAAATGAGAATCACCGCCTCCACCACCTCTCAAGAAGTAGGCTGCACGCCCACTGCCAAGCACCAGATGAAGTCACCCCAACTTCCTCTCTAAGTTGTCTACTTTGTGCAAACAAGTGTTCATGAACTCTGACTGCACGAGAGGAGAAGCTTCACACACAGATGCCCCCATTTCTAGGGAGTCTGAGTTGGCCATCCTGAAATTCAGACAGGGCTCCAGGGTGTTCATAAAAATCAAACAGGTGCTCACACCCTGGCAGGTCCAGAAGTAATTCAGATCTGATTAGAGATGCTTGTTCAATATGCAAAATGTACAACATGGAGGTTGCTGAACCAGCACTTTGAAAAGTTAATTAAATGCCGGGTTCTCCCAATGAGCTCCTCCATCACCTGCTGGCTGAATCGGCCATCTTGCAGAATGCAGCTCTGACTCTAGACAATAAGACTCGGTATTCTCCCTCGCCACCCACCATGGCACTTGGGGCGACAGGCGGAAGGGCATGCTGGCTTCCTGCTCACTGGCAAGATGCACTGGGCCTGCTCTGTCCAACTTGGTGGGCAGGAAGCAAGGCTGCCCGTCCAGCCTTTTCCAAGTCCCTGAAAATGCTCACCATGAAGCTGCCTGTCAAGCTTGTGGGCGTGGCCTTCATTCAAATGCCAGCCCATCCTCTGGCAGTCCCCTCCTGGTTTCCAGCCCCCCTTCCTGGGTTTCTCCTCCTTGGTGCGGAAAGCCTGTCCCCATTCAAATGCCACCCACCCCATCTGAGGAAGGCTGATGACTGGTAACAACAGTAAATATTTACTGAGCTTGCTGAGGACAGGCTCTGTTAACCATCTTAGTTATATGTTACTGATACTTAACTCTAATGTAGACAGCATTATATGGTATCTTACTTTGTTGGCTGCGCTTTACAAGTGATTCTGGGGTTCAGAGATGTATTCAGCCAAAGGGGCCCCTGGCTCACACAGCAGCAAGCCCGGAAGGCAAACTGTGGGGTGACGCGGAACCCAGTTCCTAGTGCTGACGGGAGCTGCACACAAAGGCAGCCCACATGGCAGGTGCGGGCACCCAGACTCCGCTCCAAATGCAACACACATCACCCGTGATGAGCACACGTTCAACTTACAGTGGTGCCATGGCTTCGTCGGGCCTGACGACATGGTGGCTGGTGTTGGCTACTTGTCCTGTGTGATGTGTCACGCATGTTTTATACGCAACAGGGGAGTTTTCATCCCGGCAGAAGACACCCCAGCTAGCTAAGTCACCTTTCCCTCCAGGTGCTCTCCTTTGCCAGCGACTCTTGTGCAGAGGCTGCTCCTTCCGTTGGACATTTAGAGACCATTCAAGGGGCAGATCTTTAGTCACATTCAGGGCTCGCGTCAGGATAAGACAAAACTGTAGGCAGGAGCCGAGTTAATGGTCAGCTGAGGACAACTTAATCCCACGGGTGTGTCCTCGGACTGCAGCCACTG